AAAGAAGTGTTTGCAATGTTCAAATGGAATTGTTGCCGAGTTCCGAGGAAAAAGCGTTTCCTTTCCATGTGAGCTAATGACTTCAGCACAAATCAGATATTTTAATTTTTAAACCAAAATTCAAAAAACTTTCTAAAAGGTTGTCACATGTACTTGCCATCCTATTTACCTTTACCTGTGAGTAGAGATGTGTTTACACATAAATCATATGAGGGCTAGGCCTGCTTCGGAAAACTGGTTAGATGTCATGCAGTATAAAAGGAACATATAGGCATTTTCATGAAATGAAATAAGTGCTCTATTTGTTGTGCAATATGCATTGCATAAAAATCAAATATATTGAACTGGTCAATGGGTCTCCACACGATGACATTTGCCAGAGGCATTCAAAGAAATATTAATATTGTAATTTTGTTTCAGTTGAAATTGTTGCCATGCAGATGGTTATATTATAGACTACCTTTGTGTCTCGTTGTTAATGCAATGTGTTCATTTTAAAGGTACTAAATGTGTATTCGATAGAGGAAATGCAGTGACAACATGTAGCAAATGGCCTGAATTGCAGATTACCTAACAAGATAAACACCCTACACATACTGTGCAGAATGGCTTAGTGGACTGAAGAAGAAAGAGGCAAAAATTCAGCAGAGCATTATTGGTTAGTACATCTGAAACAAAACGTATTGTGATCTTGTTCAGTCATAAAAAGTCCAAATGGTGCCAAGGAGTGCTGTTGCTGCATGTTAATCTGCACTAAGATAGATTTCGTTGGTCTCCCAAAATATTGGCTCAAGGACCCTTCCATATGTATCTTTATCTGCCTATAGTGTACGAATCTCAAGTCTGAGTACCAAGTGATTTCCATCCAAAGGCTTGGTGTAGTTGTAGTGGAAGTCGTTTCAAAGCGTGATTGTAAAAGGAGTGACCTTGCGAACTGTAATCAAAATATCACCATCACACTATGAGGAGGGTCACTGAGGAGCACGCCTATATAAGCCGAGGGTGAAGAGGGTTCAGTTCGCCTGTGGGTGAACCTCCAGTAGTGTGTTGCATGTGCCCATCCCTGTAAGATCTGAAGATGTGAAGTTCAGTGGGGCTACTTTGGATACATACTCATAGCTCTACTTCTAGATTTGTAAGCCCAAATATCTACCTGGGGGTGATGAGATTCAGTTTTGGTCTAATTGTAAATATTTGGGCTGCCACACGGAAAACAACTGGTTCTAATCCAGTTCAGTCGCATCTCATAGATGTGTGATAGCAGTTTTATAAACTCTGTCAGTAAACTCCAGAGAAACTGGCAACAATCAGATAATGTCAGATTTACCTCAGCATTGAATTAAATGATTGCTCCCATGTTTAGATTGACTGGAAACCAGCAAACTAGACTGTCCTTGACCACCTATTTTTGGAGCCTCTGGTATAGCCTAAAGATACCTGATTGGGAGCATCCTCTTCAGCATATAAACAACCTGGTGCCTTACACACTCCGCATGCTTACACGCTGGCCTGGTGCTTTGGATCGCAGTTTGGCTTCTTTTTTGTTCTGTTTTTCCTCTTTCTTCCATTTTTTTTTGTGTCTCAGCCCCCTTGTGTGCTAGCGCACGACTCGTGGTGCTAAAAGAGTTTTTTACAGACTCTTTAAGAAAAAAAATTGGAGCAGAATTCTTAACTTTTTTCTGCTACCTTTCCTTCTTCCCTAACTCCATTGCCAGCCCCATTCCCCAGCCATCCAGGTATCGGCCTACATGTAAACATGGAAGGGGGTGGTCACCTAGATGCAAGATGATGCAGAAGAGTTGGCTCTTCACTAGCCAAGCGCATTAGCAGGGAGAGCAGGGGCTGATTGGGAACATCGGTAGTTGCCTGAAAAGATATAAATTTTTGTCGGAAAGCCCCCTTTTAAATGCTCGTTCTATGGCTTGGGTAGTTATGTGTAAGTTGTAAGTCGCTCAATTAATGGGGAGCAGCAAGCATGTCTTGTTTTGTTTTTTTGTTTTACGTAGTTTTACCTTTTCAGCGTTATTCCACATTATTTGTAATTTTGGAATGTTTTCGCCCACAAAAAATATATCTATTTTTTCTGTGCAACATTTCATCACTGTGTGCAATATCGTATGTGCCAATGGTGGCAATATATGTATATCAATTAAATATATGATTACTATTTGAAAGCATGTGGCTGAATTCCATGTTTATTTCTCATGAAGGAAATGTATGCCTTTATTTGCACTCAAAGCTCCATCCTAGAGGAAAATATAGTAAACCAAGGTCTTAGCAGCCTGTTGGGTCAAGCAGTTCACATAAGTACTTTACCTTGAAATAGAACAATGTCGCTGCAAGTATGCCTCTCTTTAGGAAAACGGTAAACTTGGCTTATGGGTTGTTGAAGGTAGACTATAAACACACAATGGAGTTTTTGTGAAAAGGAAAACTTAAAAATACAGTGAAATCTCCATTTTAGCTTTAAGCTAAGAAAAGGTGCTTCAGTCCAATCCTCATTAAGGTGTATGGTGAACTGTCTTCAGTGGTTGTTGTGTGTAGCACTTTGCTTTCCCAGGTTAATGAAATGCCTGACCAATACTTGTTTAAAATGATCTCAACAAAGAATGTCGTTCTCTCTTATGTTGGTTCTGTTTTTTTAAAGAGGGTTTTTGATTTGCTCATTTGGTTTTGATGCATTAAATATAATTTATGTACATTTGACAAATTTTAAAAAATAAATTTAATTTACCCATGAGGGAAAATCTACATTCGAAATGTATGTGTTTTTTATGTTTCGTTTCTTGTTGGAAAAAAAAAAACATCCCAAAATGTCTACAATTCACTGATGATAAGTATGTTTAATTTTGACGTAGTGTTGTCCACAATGTCTCTACATGACTCTACGTTTGCAAGGATACTAATTACTAAAGCTTAATTTTACAGCCTTTAAAATACAAACTTTGCAATGACAAGTACTCATTTCTTCTTAGAGATTTCTACATTAGTACTGTATGTGTAATACCAGGCTGTAAAATAAAGCATTACTTTGTTCTCTAATCATCCTGACTATGCCATTTGTGATCTGTATGCAATGAGCTTTACTGCTCATATAACACTAAAGAAATGAGAGCATAGTGATCACGACCTGACAGAACCTGTACATCGACTGTTTGCAAATAACAATTTTTTTCCAATGCGCCACAGTGATTACAAGTCAATGCCAATTGACAATCAGGTCACAAGGTCTTTTACAGCTATTTACAAATTAAATGGATTTCTAGTCACAAGTTAGATTTCTGGTTTAATGCATGTTGATAAAATGGAATTATGAAGATGTAAATAATTACAAATACTGAAAATAGGCCAGGCATTATCACTCAGCAGATCAGCAGCAGGCTCGGTTTTGTTTGTGCCACTAAAAACGTGGCATAGGCAGGCCATCAATGTTCAGAGGATTTTTATTACTTTAAAAGATCCTGTGCCTTCTCAGTGACCACCTACCTGAAGAAACAGAGACAGAAAAATGTCAATATAAGGACGAATTAAGGTTTTATCTTCCACCAAACGCTCACTCTCCAGGGAGGTCAGAGTGCAGGTTCTGGACTTGCTCAAAGGCATTTCTGCAGGACATATGTGTTATTGGGCTTTGTGGCGAAGTTGATGTCTCCCAGCCTCTTGGCCCCCCTGCTGGCCAGGAGGAAGGGTGAAGGGAATGTGCTAAATTGAGATGGACTCCAGCTCAGATGCCAACTCAGACTCCAAGTTTGCTCTTCATCCAAGAACCCACATTAGAGGATTGGTTTAGGTCATCACAGCTTTGCAAGCGCTAGTGCGACGCCTCAGAACTGGTAATAAATTGTATTAAGTCAAAACAAGACAATCTTTGTGGAAGCGCATTGTATCCAGTTGATGAAACACTAATAAAAAGCCTTTTATTTTCAAAGTCATGCTACTTAGAAGCACAATGGCAGTAATCACTCCCAGGAATGCTGCTGGGGAAGATTAATATAACAGGTTTACTCTGGTCCATCTGCCACACTGCAAGCTGAGAGAGAACTACTTGATCACACTCATATTTTATGGCTGTTGCAACATGGTCATCATTATCTGAGCACTGCCTGACAGCACTGAATGGTATGAACGGCCTGTGCAACATCCTGCCACTTTTTTACCGTTTGTGTACAAGTGCCAGCATGTTTATTTGCACAGCATGTGTTTGGAAATGCTGCCTTCGCTCTAGCATTGCTTCCATTTTCATTCAACTTGTAATTTAGTGCTAAAGCAGCATTGGCTTCGGTGGTGACGTAATTCATTGCAGGCGTCTCTGGTGTTGGCCACTAGAGGATGCTCTTTACCTATAAATGATCAGAAACAAAGTCCCAGTGGAGAGAGATGCCTTTGGCTTCACTGTGGTAGAACTAACAACAGACATGGTAACGTGAACATGTGCTTAAAGAAATGCCACAATCTGCATCGAATATGTACATACGATTTAGAATCACTGCAAACAAATTAAGCCACTATTTATGTTTTATTGTTGTAACTCTTGCTCGATAGGTTAAAACTAATATTATAATGCCACAGTACCTGGCATCATGTCAGGATGTCATTTAAATTTAAAAAAATAGAACACATGTGTAACAATGCACTATATATCAACTAACTGATGAGAAGGTAAGAAGATATGAAAACATGGTTCATAATCTGATATTTAAGCAATAATTGAAGTTAACAGTGAAATAACATCTGTACGTTATATCTATTTAATAGTTAGTGCAGTGCCCTTTTGTATTAACTTTTTTTATACGTTCACCAGGAGTTTTGTGGGTGGGAGAGCAGTGAATTTTTCCCCTCTTTCTTTCTTTCTTTCTTTCTTTCTTTCTTTTTTTTACAACTTCTTTAATGTGTGAGGTCAACTTCCTGAATTGCTCGCTTCCCCTTTTTAAAATAAAGTGTGTGTGTGTGT